TGTCGTAAATGTTCCACATGTAAATCGAGTACTCGATACGGAACGTAAAATGATATTTTAATCTTTTAATTATCTTATATTGTGATTGACGGCCAATTTTAATATATTTTTAATACACGTTATATTACTTGGTTTTTAAAATAAAAAGTACCTCTGCTTTTGGTAACATCTGCTTCAGTAATTTGGCTCAATGTATTAAATCCAAAGCCTCTTAAACTCTGCCTTAAGCACATGGGTTACTTTAAAATCAAATGATCCAAGACTGTAAAACACCTGCACAGCTGTTCAAAACATTACAACATTTTCTACAGTGTATTACACTACAAAATGTTACATGTAGCAGATGGTTCAAAAAATGAAGATACAGACAAAACTGATTTCATGTATTCATCTTTCTGCAGGATTTTAAACTTGGTTTGGTAGGTACTCTCATGACATCAACTATATACTTTTCTACACAGGAATGATAACTCAGTTTTATGTTCAACAATGACAGTGTACTAAGCATCACATCACTATTTATCAATTTCGATACTTGTGGGTTATCAGGACACTTGGCTTTAAAAATAAGTTAGGTTAGTTGTCATTTATTGAAATAAAATATAATAACTTTCAAGTATATGTTATTTATCCACACCTAACCTAACTTATTTTTAAAGCGATGTGTCCCGATAACCCACAAGTACCTTAATTTCTTAGTTCTAACTTATGTTCACACTTAATCTTGTATAAAATTCAAAGCCATCATACGCTGCCTTTCCCGTTATCTGTACACGACAATTGTAAATATTATCACCTTCGATATTTTCCTAGAAATGACTAACCTGTAATATCAATTATCCTGTTGTCCTGGAGTTGTTTCCCACTAATAAAGTAACCAACTGTTTATATGATTAAACATACAAATCAATTTCACACAATTTCTCCTCAGTCACATTATCCATTCACTAAATTCAGCAATAAAGTTGGCCATCTTACAGTTGGTAGTTATCCTTTACTGTTTTAAAGAGTCCTGCTACAAGCCATGGAAGCACTTGTAGGAAGAGAAGGTATAGATCCTAAATTAAATTATTTAATTTTATAAAGGTTAAGTTATTTAAATGTATCAATAAAAGCCAAGTTACATTAGGTCTCCATTCTCTCGGCACACAGCGCATTTCAACATAACTGAAATAATTTTATCTTGAAAAATCAGATGTGATACATCTTCAATTATGTATCAAAGTATTTCCAGTAAATCCTAAAACCTGATTCAAAAAAATCTGTATGAGAAAATCAAAGACATTTTGATAAATGCTAAATAAAGGCCTCTTCGTGTATTGTCAATTATAAAATTAAAACTCAGAAAATATAACTTGAAACTATATGACAATTACTTCCTCTAAAAGAGAAAGCTACTACTGATTCAAAACATATTTCCTGCTCACTTGGTATCATCAATTTATTTTTGACAAACATCAAACTGCGCGTGATGTACGATTAGGGTTATGAAAAACACATCAAGGGGAAGATGGAAGCAGTAAGGACCTCTGATATGTCAGTAAACTTCTACCAGACTATGTAGTGCAATAACCCAGAACACAGCAATCTTCACTCCATCAACTATTTATAGACTTCAAGAAAGCCTAAGCATTGCTAATGAATCATTCAAACTGTGAAAAAAATTAATGTACTTGGGGACAAAACCAATAAGTCAGAATGACATTCATTACAAAATCAAAAGCATATTAAATTCAGGGAATGCTTGCTATCATTCAGATCAAAATCTTTAGTCCTCCAGTCTCATCATAAAAATATAAAGATTAAAATCTACAGAAGTGTAATTTTTCCAGTTTTGCTGTATGAGTGTGAAGCTTGGTCTCTCACTTTGAGGGAGGAACATAGATTAAGGATCTTTGAGAAAAGAGTGTTGAAGATGATATCTGGATCTGAAAGGGAGGAAGATGAATCATGGAGGAGACTGCATAATGATAACCTTCATGGCCTCTACTCCTCACCTGATATTATGGTGATTAAATTGAGAAAGATAAGGTGGGCGGGATGTACGGCACGCATGGAGGAGAGGAGGAATGTTTACAGGTTATTTGTTAGGAGGCCTGAGGGAGGAGACCACTGGTAAGACCTAGGCTTAGGTGGTTGGAAAATGATGGACTTTAGGGAGATAGGAATCAATGGGGTTAACTGGATGCAGCTAGCTCAGGATAGAGTCCAGTGGCAGTCTTTTGTGCACACGGTGATAAACCTTCAGGTTCCATTAAGAAAGTGGGATATTCTTTGACAAACCTAGTATACAATCGACTTTTCAAAGAATTTCTTGGACCAGAATGAGTGAGTGACATAGTAGGTTGTGGCCTCTTATGATTAATGGTTCCCTAAAGTTTGCATGCCATCTAAATTTTGTAATTATTTTAATGCTGAGAGTACATATCTACCTCTAAGAAACTTAATATAAAAACTGTTTACGAAAAAAGTGTAATGACTTGGATATATTTGGTTACCAATTATAATTATCTTTGTTCTTCCTGTATTAGATGACGGTTACGCTCCAAATCACAATATGACATCACTTTTTGACAGTTAATATGAAATTAAAAGTCCATAACACTACAGAAATCCTCAGTAAACATAATACATGTGATTTTCTCTCGAAGGATTCAAATAATTACAATACCGCTCAATTACATCCTATACGTCTGCGGCTGTCATATTTTCAGTTTTCAATCGAGTTACCAACGGACGTATACGTTAATTTTCTGTGCTTATTAGCCGGAACTTTTATTTCAATCATTGACAAGTTCTACCTCCACTGGTCGCTATCCGTATTTCAGTTTTTAGACCATCACATTGTTCAGTTGGTACTTCCTATCCAATTTTGTCATGTGTGTATAAATTGTATGCGTTTTGCATTTCTGTCAAATCTTCGTTGAGGACGTTGCAAGTACTTGGTAGCTTATTACTCAGTTATGCGGTTATACTACGTGCTTTTACTTACCACTACTGTTTGCACCATTCACTGTAAAAAGTTTAAAGATGAAGATAAACCTGCTTGGGCGAAAAAGGATATTCGTGATTACAATGATGCAGATTTAGAGAGTTTACTTGAGCAGTGGGAGGTAAATCTGTGAGCATTTATTAAAAAAAAACCTAATCTGATTTTGCAATATTGTCCAAGCAATTTTTCATATTTTGTAGGAAGGTGATGAACCCCTTGAAGAGGATGAGTTGCCAGAGCATCTTCGCCCACAGCCAAAAATTGACTTCACTCAGGTAAATAAACTAATAGTTCTCGAAATTGTTAAATGTATTTGGAACTATATGTGAAAATGACCCATGCTCTCACTTTATTTTATATTTTATAATGTTGCTGATCAGTCAATAGGTTATGTATGCACTGTATTAAGACTTCGTATGGAGAAAATATTTTGAACATGTATAGTGATTTAAGGAGCATCTGGAAGGAAACATTCATGACATATTTGAATATACTATAAGTAAATTTTATTATTTAAATTGGCTTCAAAAATAACATTTCCTTGACACATATATTTGTTCATATGACATTTTACTTTGATTTATCTTATGCCTTTTTAACATTGTCAATAAACGATTTAGTTATTGTAGTAGTTATGTGTTTTTCTTCTGTTTATATGTTATATACGATATTGGTTATTTATGTTTAATTTTTGTGTGAATGAAAACCTCCGTATGAGGTCTCTTGAACAGGCAATTCGATTTCAGTTTTTTTGTATTGTCAATAAACTTGAGAAAAACGTAAGTAATTTTTTGCGTAAACCAGCTATCAGAAAAATATATATTAAGTTTTCCTTATGAACTTTAAGTTTATAAAAAAGAAAGAAAGATATCAATACTGATATATAATAATTTTTATGTAGGGGTTTCCTGAGACATGAATATTATTTCAAGGGTTCCGCAAGGGCAAAAAGGTTGAGAAACGCTGGTCCAAACGATTGGCCGGCCGCACCACACGAGTTTTGCCTTTCAGTCTTCAACTGTGCAGGCCGAACGGGAGGCCAAACTGTGTATGTAGGGAGGGGGGGAATAAGAAACTTAATATAAAAACTGTTTACGAAAAGTGTAATGACATATATTTGGTTACCAATTATAATTATCTTTGTTCTTCCTGTACTAGATGACGGTTACGGTCCAAATCACAATATGACATAACTTTTTGACAGTTAATATGAATTTAAAAGTCCATAACACTACAGAAATCCTCAGTAAACATAATACATGTCAGACTTGAGGTTCGCACAGCGGCGAGTATGAAGATTTCCGTCTTCTGGGTCGTTGTGCTCTGTAGTCTGGTCGATGTTAACCAACGTTTCAGAGGTCATACTGCCTCCATCATCAGGGCGATGAGTATGAAGATTTCCGTCTTCTGGGTTGTTGTGCTCTGTAGTCTGGTAGAGTTAACCAACGTTTCAGAGGTCATACTGCCTCCATCATCAGGGCGATGAGTATGAAGATTTCCGTCTTCTGGGTTGTTGTGCTCTGTAGTCTGGTCGATGTTAACCAACGTTTCAGAGGTCATACTGCCTCCATCATCAGGGCGATGAGTATGAAGATTTCCGTCTTCTGGGTTGTTGTGCTCTGTAGTCTGGTCGATGTTAACCAACGTTTCAGAGGTCATACTGCCTCCATCATCAGGGCGATGAGT